AACTGTGTCTCAACATCGGGACTGGAGGTTTTTTTTTAAATCATAACGAACGTATATTGATGCGTTTGAATTTTTTGGACAGATACTTGCACTGTCTGCCGAGGTAAGTAAGTATAGCGTCGTAAAACTCAACGTTTATTTTAGGAATTGACGGGGTAAATAAAATTAGAATTCACATCATTTTACTGTGCGATCTCAAAAAAGGATTGAAAGAAGAAGACAAGACAAAAGATTTTGCTCTGTATTCCCAGCACCAACAATAGAAGGGCTGCATTGAGGAAGATTCCAGGGAACCAATTCACAACATTCGACAAATTGCCAAAATTTTGTTGAATTGAGCCGATACGGCATCGAAACGGCATGATCGATCATCCGACTGATGGTAAGCACAATCTCATGGGTGGAGCATTTAGTTGTGCGGACGAGTCGTCGTTTACCCGAGATTTTGATTAGAGCAGATCATTGTCTTACTGTCGTGGCATTTCGTCATCATTCAGCATCTCCGTCAATCGCTGCAATGGCTATGGAAGAGTTAGAAGGCTCAGTTCGAAATCTCATCGATCAGAAATCCTTAAAATGGATTTTTGTTGGAGGAAAAGGAGGTGTGGGCAAAACGACTTGCAGGTATTTCTCTTAATTTCCTTTTTTTTCGAAAAATCTTAGTTTGTAACTCATTTTTCTTTTGAGTAAAGTATTTAGTGAGTGATGTTTTAGCTGTTCTTTGGCAGTTCAATTAGCTGCAAAAAGAAGGAGTGTGCTGTTGATATCTACAGATCCTGCTCATAACATATCCGATGCCTTTAACCAGAAGTTTACAAAAACACCGCAAAAAGTCGCAGGCTTCGAAAATCTTTCTGCTATGGTAAGCTGCCTCTGATATCATATTACGTGATTGCGATTTTTTCCATTGCTTAGGTCTAACTCTTGCAATTCTAGGAAATTGACTCGAATCCCGTAGAAGGATCTGCCTTACCTGGGTTAGATCAATTGGGTGATAGCAATGGTTTGTCTCATTTTTTTTGTTCTTCCCGCTGTTAAATTATTTCGGTCACTACTCTTTAGGTGGTATAGCGTCAATGGGACGGGAGTTGCTGAATAATATGGTTGGAGGAATGCCCGGTATCGATGAAGCCATGAGCTTTGCGGAAATGTTGAAGTAAGAGTTCGTTCTCAAGTCGCGAACTTTCAGTAATATTTGCAACTTTATTATCTTTTTTTATCGTTCTATATGTGCTCGTACGCCTAATCCATAGAAGGTGTCATAAGCTAAAATAGCTCATGCTTCTTTAGTATGACTTTAGCTCTTAAAATATGACTTTTTGCTTATACTGTCGATGTTGCAGGCTAATTTCAGACTCATCAACTCGCTCGACTTTGATGTAGTAGTGTTTGATACTGCTCCAACGGGTCACACATTGCGCTTGCTGCAGTTTCCCGTCATACTCGAAAAGGCATTCACAAAAATTCTCTCACTGCAGTCATCATTTGCACCTATGATTGGACAGGTAATATACTCTTCTTGAGTGCTTTTAAGGACGACTTTACTCTTCTCAAGCAGCTTCTTTTTGACTCAGCGTGCTAAATGAGTAGAGCACTATTAACTATAATCAATCTCAAAAGACATGAAAACTCGTGTAAATATTGTTAATTCGGGAAAATTGTATATGTACTGTTATCAAATTCAGATGCCTTAATCATTTTGAGACAGAGTAGAGTATCGAATTTCTCTGGGCGGCATTCTTTTTCTCATAACTGCCATTGGGATGACCAGAATAATTGCCGATAATTTGCCCTGCATTCTTTTCAGCTGCTAGGGAGGTATATTAGCTCCATAAATAAGGCATGCCTCTTTTTTACTGCTCGCCAACTTACTTAATGTTGAACTGTATTGAACATAATATTACCATTTTGGCATGATTTAGCATAATGACGTTCATTTTGAAAGTTCCACATCCTTTATCTTTCCTCTTCCTTCTAAGTCAAACCTCTCATATTCTTAGCTCTCTGGAATGCTTGGAATGGGCGAGTTGTCTCTTGACGACACTCTCAGAAAACTTAACGAGACATTGGATCAGGTCAAGCGAATGAATGCAGAATTCAAGAATCCAGTAAGTGTTGCATTTTTTGTTTTTAGATCATGTTTTTTTAAACGTGCTTTTCCCTTTTTCTCTTTTCAGGATCTCACCACATTCGTTTGTGTATGTATCGCAGAATTTTTATCATTATATGAAACTGAGCGATTGATTCAAGAGCTTACTAAGCAGGTAAGTGATAGCGTTTGACATCCTGCAATCAAGAAATACAATTTTTCAGGGAATCGATACGCACAACATCATTGTAAACCAATTGCTGTTCCCAGATACTAGTGAAGGATCAGTTCAATGCAAAAAATGCCAAGCTCGATTCAAGATACAGTCGAAATACCTGGAACAGGTCAGTTTTAGTTACTCACTACTTTAAATCATTTTTATTAATCGTTTTTCCGTCCTTTTTGTTCGAATCTGAAGCTCTGCTTCCTACTTGCTATTCTGTTTATGTTAACCTGTGTGACTGTCTTTGTTTGATGGGAATCTATATCATATTTTTGCATAGTGCTGTTTGCATTTCGAATGCTGTAGCTTCGGCCAATTTGTCGTATGCATGGTAATTTTTCGCTGAAATTAACATGATGCTAATTGGAGCAGTTTTTAAGATGTCAAAATTTGTATCTTCCCAAATTAATCTGTTCACAATTTCGCTTTTGTGATGCAACTCGAAAACACGGTTAAGTTCATCTGGCCAAATTTTATGACTCATCAAAGAACTGTTTAGATTGGGACACTGTTATATTCCAAACATTTTGTAAACCGTTATGTGCTTATCAAAATAGGATTAGATTTTCTGGGTTCGAGTGTGCATATTGCGCATCAAATGCATAAGATCCAAATTTGCAATCGGTCGAGAAATACCCTTTCGGCGTTATATTGCCAATGAATCTGCTCCTTGCATACCCACATGTGTAATATGTGGATCTAATGCGTAATGCGCTAGTGCACTTAAGCAGAAAGCAACTTTTTAAGGATTGTTTACCCCTCAGTTTGGCTTTGTTGAATTCAACATAACAAGAGAAGGATACTTGGTTGAAATGTCAATTCAAGAAGCAAAGCATAATGATAATGCAGTTTCAAACACTGATTCTACTGCCTTCCATATCTGCGAAGCATTTTTCTGGAAGAAGCTATGAAAGTTTTTCAGTGCGAAAAT